TAGATATAAGTCCTTTGTCTAAGGGACTGCATAACATTTCTTTTATTTTAAAAGAAATAAAAATTATGTCTCAAGTTGTGACACTCTGAAATCCTCTACATGTAATTTGTACCCAAGTCCTCATTTTCTTCAGTCATTGGTATTTTCAAAGGTTGTGCAAACTCTAAGAAATTTGTCATTAGGAAATATTTTGCTTTAACTCTCTAATCCCACTGAGAAAGTGGATAATGCAAGACACAAAGTACCTACATTACTTTGTCATTTGCACACAAGCTAGCTCCCAGGTGTAGGCAGAGCAGGGCCAACATTTAAATGAATCTTGTAATTCAGTCCATTTGGAGTATTTTTGTGCAGGGGAAATTGATTTGGTGGAATAAATTTCTACTGTGTAAGTATTTCCATACATAACAATTACACTGATGGAATAAGTTCAAGAATGTCCCTTAAAACAGAAAAGTAGTGGAGACTTTTCTTGGTGGCTGCACATGTACTACGGCGAATGCGTGAAGAGCAACTCTTCTTCCTTGGCTGTTTCCTTGTTTCCTTATGCAGGTCTTTGGTCAGACACCATCCTATACTGTTGAAAACTCACAGTGGAGCTTGTGGCCAGAAATTCCTTATGACTTGGTGAGTAGGATTCTTGAATGGCAGGAAGTTTGGGGAGGAGGAAGAGGGAGTTACATTTGAGGGGTGAACTGAGAGAAGGAAAGAAAAATGATCCCAAAGAATCTACAGGAAAGAAACTATAAAGAGGTGGAGTAGCACACACAACATAAAGTAGGTAGACTTTTTATTTTTACACCTTTACATTGGGCAAGAAATTATTGTTGAATTATTTCCTCTGTGTTCTAGTCATAGCACAGGGAATTCATTCCTTATGTCTACTGTGGTTATTGGATAGTAGATATGTACTTGGAGGACATTGCTGAGAAGAGATTTGAGACCCCATCTAAGCAGGAAAGAGTCTGAAATCTGATTGACAGGGTCCACCATGAGTTTAGGATAGGAAATAGCAGCACGTGGGTCACATCGTTAGGATCAGATATACACTAATCAGGTACAGGTCAAGGTAAGATGCCACTCTGAGGTTTTGTTTTTTGCTTGTTTTGGGGGGTTTTGTTTGTTTGTTTGTTTTTAATGATTTTAGGACAGGGTGTAGAGAGTGTATAGGGTTTCACTACGTAGATCAGACTCTTAGTAATCCTGCTATTTTCAGCTTCCCAAGGGCTGGGATTACAGGCGTGCGCCACCACACCAGGTTCAATCACCATCTCAGTGTACCTTGGGCGCAGGGCCGGCACTGCATGGGCCAGGGGGATAGAAACACACCCACCGCTCCCCCTGCTGCGCTCTGCCAAAGTGGACGCTGAACTCTGAGATTTTTTATAATGTGTTTACCATTAAGCACATTGGTATATGTCTCTCTTCCAGAGACATGTGTTTCTTTTAATTTCTTTTTACATGTTTCTTTTCCTTCTGTTTGTTGACTATCTTTCTTTTTTTCTTTTTGACCCTTTGCAGTTTGTGTTACTTTTTTCATTGCTGAGACAAAATATCAGATACTCAGAGCTAAACCAGAAAAGGTCTATTTTAACTCATGGTTTGTAGAAGTTTCAGTCAGCTGGCTCCAAGGTGGGT